AGACACCTATATACTCAATATATTCCTACTACCAACAAAGTTTAAGATTATGCATATGAATCATATACATGTTTTAGTAATTCAATACAAAAGCATCAAATCATCGGTAAATACTACAAAGCTTACTTATTCTTCAGTTAAAGGAAATTTTGTTTAATCAGCTTCAGTCTGACAATTTGCCGACTTCAGTTCAACCAAAGTACATTGCCTAAGCCATTCATACAATGAAAACAAGCATGTAACCAATGTTTACCTCACTTTCAGGATGCAACCGTGACTGAAATATTATTAATATAGTCTGTAAAGTCTTTAATTGAACATTCTCATCTGAAATTTCAGCATGCTGCAAGAAGAGTAACAAAAATGCAAGATTTCAGTGGTCTATAATTAAGTTTATGTTGAAAATATTGTGTAACGAATACAAGTATAAACTTACATCTTTTAATATAGGAAGTATCTCACTGAGAACTGATGGGGCAACTGCATCATGAGAGACGAGCTTTTGTAGACACGAAAGTCCAATAACACTAAGCTTGACAGTTTTAACCTCACATGCCATTAAAAAGATCCGCACTATGTCATCATTAAGAGAAATTTCACTAGGACTTGACAATGTCCGAAGCTGTAGAAAACACATGTTTCAAATTCAGCTACTGCCATCTATCGTCAAATAAACATCTAAGTCTATTACTTCCACATTATGCATGAGATTTACAGAATGCTTCGTAGACTTCGATAACTTCTGAGTGATCGCGATTTCCAAAAATTGAAGTAACACTGACAACACTATCTCCATAAAAAAAAAAACTTCATTCAATGTCTAAACTTTGCTGAGTTTACTTTCAAAAAGATGTTAAAGAGTCTAGAACCTAAACAAAATCTCGCTTAACAAATCTTGTGGCAACATAAAATCGTCTACGGAATCAAATTCAAGCCAAAATGTAATAATTAATAAGTTTTCATTTTTTTCATCTAATTCGGTTGCTTCTAAGAAAACCAAACACGCAACAAAATAATCGTTTCAAGCTTAAAACATAAGAAAGAAAATGCGACTAAATGAAGTAACATATACATCAATTCCACTAAAATAGCTGCATATGAAAGCGAATTGTGACCTTTAATATGGCGTGTTCAGCGGCGTCTTTGACGGCGGGGTGGCGGCGTCGTGCTTCGGTGGAGAGAGCGCGGAGATCGGATTCAAGAACAGCCATGAAAGCCATCTCCACGGAGCGCTGTCTGTTTCTCTGTCTGGCTCTCTTTCTAATTCGTGAATAAGAATGAATCTGTAACCAGCCGAAGGTTTGCGAAGAATTGAAAATTTTGTAATTTAATTCATCGAAATCGAAGAGCCCGATTGCAGAAATGAAGAAAGCGAGCTTTGTAGATCTTGTTGTTCGAGTGAGAGATCTGTTGGAGGAATGAGGCTGTTTTCGCATTTGCAGATGTCACGTGCTGGATTGTGAAAGAAGGAATCTGTTGCCCGAATTTTGATTGGGCTTTTCGTAGCTTGAATGAAAAATATTACTGGCCCATACGAGAATTTGACGTTAAGATTATATTTGAAAATCAGGAAAGAAAATAATTTTTATTTTCCGAGGTAAAATGTCATCTATTTACATGAAAACAGCTACATGTAGTTGATATGAGATTATCATATATCCTAACTGATGATGTATATATTACGTATCGAAAGTGGTGATACGATATCTATTATGTGTCGAAAATAATGACATGACACATACTATATGTTGAATGTAACGACATGACACATGTTATGCCCCGAATGTGATGACGTAATGTATATCAAGTGTTGAAAAATGTGATATAATAATCTCACGTAAGTGATAAATTGTTCAACTAACGATTTTCATTTAATTAGAGGTCATTTTGTTTCATAATGAAACTCTGCGGTTAAAGTATTCCAAAAAAATAGGAATCAAACTTTAAAAATCCATTTTTGTTTGAATTTTCAGTTTTTTTTATTTTTATTAATTATTATTAATATTTATTTATTTATTTTACTGATTACAACAAAACTCAAAATGGGCCAATCTAACTCTAGTCCAAAACAGGCCTAATATATAAATTTAGTTCAAGTATTTTGGGGTTTATTTTGAAACCTTAGGATTTCCACCACCTGGTGCCGCCAACAAAGGAGAAGAGCCCTCCCAGCCGCCTTTGGTTCCTATCACTATCGCCGCCCTTAGGGGTGTTTAAAAAAATCTGAAACCGTTAATCGGTATAACTGTTATGTTTAATAGGTTAATTAACCGAATCGTTAATACTAAACGATTTGATTAATTAAACTGCTAAAAATGATGGTCAATGGTTAAAGTTACTGTTATAAATTTTGATAAGCGGTTACCAATATTTAACCGTTAATAAATTAAATTATATTTCTAATTTATTATATTTTTACACAAGTATCTTGATATAAGTTTATATTATTTACAATTTTTATATATATTTAATAAAATTTGTATACAAATAACTTAATATTCTTTTTATTATTTATTTCTTTGAAAATATAGAAGTATACTTACACAATATAATTATATGTTTATTGTTAGATACTAAAAGTGTAAGTATGTGTTAAGTGTTACATTTTTTTATTTTATTACTTACATCGGTGTAAGTATGTGTTAAGTGTTACACTTTTTTTATTTTATTCACTTACACTCGTGTAGTATGTATTAAGTACTATACTTATTTATTTTATTTACTTACATCAATGTACGTATGTATTAAGTGTTACATTTTTTATAATATAAATTATGAAAATAAATTGACAAAAAAAATTATAATAAATTAACCTAAAACCGAACAGTTAATGACTGTTAACCGTTAGCAGTTAATCATTTTTTAATAATTAGATTACTGTTAAAAATATCTCTTAACCGTCCATGAACAGCCCTACCGAGCATCTCAACAAATTAGACTGGATCAAGAAAATAAGAAGAAATCAAAATAGGTCATCACAGGAGAAATAAAAAATCATCATCAATCAAATTCCCAACAAAATTCCAAAAATTCAGGGCATTAAAGGATGAGATTTTCACCAACTCTACTAGCTAGACCTACTGCTGCCATCATTTTATATAGCTAAGCAAGACCGAATAAAACAGAAGATCAAGCATGCAACAAAATAAATGAAAGGTGGAGCAGTTTGAAAGAAAAAGAATCAAGAAGAGAGAAAATAAAAGGAAAAAAGGAAAAGAAAGAAAGGATTCCATTTTCTTCAAGACATGCAGATGTTGGCTTCACTAGAGTTGAAAGTACCCCACAACGACGAAGGTAATCTTTTGCCTTTTGGATCAGAGTTTAGAGTCTTTGTTTGGGGTTGGTTTGTTGGGATTTTGGTGATTTATGTCTCGAATTTTAGTTAAGGAGGCTATTAGGTGCAAAAGGTTGGTGTTTAGGGGTCATTGGCCCCTCATCGGAACCGTTTGGGGGTGGCCGGAGGAGAGATTCATCTCTCTTTTCCGTTGAGATGGAAAAAAAGAGAAGAGAGGGATGAAGATAAGAAACAACGGGCAAGGAGAAAAATGGGGTTAGGGTTTTTCTAAAATTATAGTTAGGTATATAAATGGGTTTCAAAACGACGTGGTTTAGGGTTAGGGCAGTCATGTTAAACTACAAGGGCTATTTGCGCAAGAAGGGTTCCTTATTTTGTAATATTTCCATTTTAGTCACTAATTGAAATTCTGATTTCTTTTAATATGGTGTTTAAATTTTACGTGTGTTGCATTTTAGTCACTGCTTTATTATGGATTATTTACGTGTTTAACCTTTGTTACTTTAGTTTTCTTCGATTTGGTCCTTGCTTGTTTTTTGCATTTAGTAAAGAATTTTGTTCTTGTATCCTCGTGGTCCTGGTTTCATTATTTGTTCATTATTATAATAGATATCGTATAATTTATTATAATATTGTATATAATGACATACAAGTACTTCATGTGCTAATGTACTTAAATTGGTTTTGCAGAATATATATGTATGTTATACGTATGCAAACATATATATTATAGTTTGATTATGTATATCTATATATATGTATATGCTTCTCATTTTTTTTGTTAAATATTAATATATATACGTAATAGATGTGTTATATGCCTCTGTTTCCATGTCAACTCTTTATTTCTATATTAATTTATTATCTAAATATTTTTTGGGTTGTTAATTAATTTTTCAATGATGTATGTATAATAAGTATATTTTATATATTGTTTCTAGTAGGTAATAGGTCATATGTGTACATATTTTTAATATGATCTATTTTGTTATATTAAGTATAATATAGTATAAATAGTATAATAAAGGATATATATATATATATATATATATATTAATTGTATTTTTTATGCATTCTATGTATGTAAATGTATAATTTGATGCATATAGGTCTAGGTTTTATTTTAATTGATATGTATGTTATCCTCATGTGCATTACTCGAACCTCATTAAAATAATTTGACTAAGAGTAATATCCATTTATTTTGGGATTATGGGAAGTGATTGTCTTAATGTATGAGAATGTCACTTTCAATAGTCTTAAAACAAAAGGGTATCTTATCAATTGAAACCATAAAAATTGTTTTCACTTAAAATTTGGGACTAAGAAAAAGATCATGTTTTTTTAATTAAATTCACTGAAAAAAAATTGTTAGATTGGATCTATGGTCTGATTTCGATGTCTTTAAATAATTGAACATGTTTATTCTCATTAAAGGTTGGTAAAATAGTTAATTAATAGTATTCGTTTTATGTATGCATTTAAGTTTCATCTTACTTTTTATGTATTTAAAAGGTGTCTCAAATTAAGTTATACTCAAACGTATAAGTTTTATTGCAAGGACAACTAATTAATTAACTAGGTAACGATTTAGGGTGTTGTGGGGGTGTTAATCATTCCCCACACGTAACTGACTCCTGAACTTAAATTTTTGGTAGCACAGACCTTAAAATTGTTGTTTTAATTAAAATTAATATTTTATTAAAATGACAAATATGTTTTTGGGTTCCCAAACAAACCATAATCAAAGATTGATGGCGACTAGACGAATCGATTTTATTATTTTTAAATTTGTGTCCCAAATTATTCGAGGCGGACATTTTTACAAAGTCCTAATTTTTTTAATCGACACCAGATTTAAAAAAAACATCTCGACAACTTGGTGACTCTGCTAGAGAAATTTAGAGAGTCAGACCATTAGTTAATTAATTAGTTGTCTTTGCAATGAAAATTATTAACTCACCTTAAGTTAATTTTTGATTCCTTGTGTTTTTATTGTGTTTTTTTATTTTAATTAACCACTAAATAATTGTACTGATTTGTTTGCTAATGTTTTCATATTAAAAGGAATTGAGAACTTTGTTTTGAGTTGCTTTCTTATATTTTATTTTTTTCCACTTTTCCTCACACACTGCACTGTTGCATTTGCATAACATGAGCTAAAAACCCCTCCGTTCCACTTAAGTGGGAGTGAGAAGCTACTATCTCGTGATGGTTTTCACCTCTGCATGAGATAACTGATCGCTCGCAGGGCACACGCTTTGTGGTCCTCGTGATGGTAATCACCTCTGTATGGACATAAGGAACTGTACATCTTCGAATTGAACTCGATTTGTATAAGCTTGTGATGGGTCAGGATTGAGGGTCTGGCAGCCCAAAGGGGTACCAGTAAAGACAATTCAAGTACCTTTTACCTTAGAAACAAACCCAACATATAGTGAACCCATGACTTAAATAGAGCCTTACCAGACCTTAGAAATCCTGTAAGGAGAGTACACAAGGAAAATCTTTTGCGAGTATTGGGACATTTAATGTTTTGAATAAATGTATGAGAACTAGATATCATGTGATTAGTTTTTTTTAAAAATAAGCATGTGAATTAGATATCATACGGCTAGTTTTTTTTAAACAAAGCATGCGGGTAGAAAACATGTTTGGGTAGGATTTATTAAACCATGTATGGGTAGTCAACTTGTGAAGGTAGGTTTTATTCGATGCTTATAGTTCTTATTATCCTATTGTTTTTCTTATGTGTACTAACCCATTTTTGTTTTATGTTTATTTTATTTTGGTTTTATTTTCTTGCATTTGCATCTTCATGTCATCCAAAGGTGCTAACTTGCAAGTGATTGACTAAATAGAAGGTTGTTCATAATGAGATAGGAAATTTTTAGCCACGTAGTAAAAACCAGGAGATCCAAAGATGTTTAAATGATCCATGAAGAAAAACAACCGATGAATGAAGAAATTAAAAGTGGATTGAAGAATTCCATTAAAGGCACAAATACTAAGATGCTTTCTTAAGAGGTAGATACAATCATATCAAAGATGAGAAGACCCTTCACAAAGGCAAGGAGTGTAACACTCTAATCAATTTTGACCCGAAAATCTATGGTTTACAATGTTACATGGGACTACCAAAATAGTGACCCAAAATTTCCTTTTAAAACTGCTTGTAAATTTCTTAAATTTAACCATCCATACATAATAAAAAAATGTAATAAAAATCTGGTTCCACCAAAATAATGGGGAGCTCCCAAAATACATCCACAAAATAATACAAAATACTGAGTTCCAAAACAGAGTTATGACTAAATACATAACAAGGGTCCATAACAGTACATGCCCTCTAAAGATGACTCAGAACGTACTCTGAAGGTCTCTAGGAATCTAATCTGTTACACTGGAATATCTTATGACGATAACTCCCCACGAACTTCCCCTAAGGACTTGCACACGAAAACACATTCTGAACGCTGAGCTTACGAGCTTAGTACCTCACTAATAAATGTACTATAATATATGCATGCACTAAATGAAATGGTAAATGACACATGTATGAGTATACAACTACCGAACTACTGAACTACTGATCTATGGTTGGCAACATGGTGCGGCTAAGGGATTCTACATCTCGGAGCTCACACACCCTCTAGCACTATCATGTACCCACGGGCACACCTGGGTGAGGTCTAGAATTCTGCATCGAAAACATACACCCACCAACTTACTTCATCGAGTCTTGGGAATCTAGCGCTCATTTGACAAAGAAGTGTCGTAGCACTGACTTGGATCCACTAATTGTCGTATTCTGCTAAAATAAACTCGAGTGTCTTTAATGTTTCCCAAGCGTTAACCAAGGCTAATTTTATGTAAACCTAGTTGTTATTGTTTTTACTATTATGATATTATTTATTATTATCTCTTGAAGTCTTATTTGTTGTTACCCGGGTGTATGTAGGGTACTTAGAGTTTAGTCTAAAATCCCATGAATTATTTATTAAAAAATATTTGACTGTACCGATACTAGGACCTCAATATCGATACTAAGCCACTTGGTATCGATACCCACGTATTGGTATCGATACCTACTGACTAACGTAGACCATATGGTTAGGTAACATCGATACCCATGAGTGAGTATCGATACTCTAGCTCTGAGGTATCAATACTAACATGAGTATCAATACCAAATTTAGGTTCGATGTTCTAAAAATTACCCTAGTATCAATACCCCCTTATATCGATACTCTATGTGAGTATTGGTACCAAAATTATATTCTGGAATATGGGTTTCGATACCTGTGATAACTCTCCAAAAGAGTTATCTTTAATATCCTTGATTACCTAGGTTTAGTTTGAACTTAAGTATATTTAGGATCATTTGAGGATTAAAATTACTTGATTTTACATATTTTGAATGTTAGGAGCATAGTGGGTTGTTAAGGGCTAAACTTGATCTTGGGTGCTGCAAACTATTGCACTGATGTTGTAAAATACTGATTGAATGTTGTAGCGGTCGTTTAAACTCCAAATGGTTCGAAGAACCTTCTGGATTGGGACAGCTAGCGCTGGTAGCTGTCATGTTGATGGATGACACCTGAAATGTGGATTTATCCTATTGGGCGATGATATTTTTATTCAAGCAATAAAAGGGGAGTACTAGGGTGCAAAAAGTGTGACAATTGTGAGAGATCCAAAGTACCCTTTCCATGTTATTTCTTATTAAGCCATGGACACCTAAATCCTCTGTCAGAGATTGTTGTAGTAGAAAAAAAGCTTGTTGAAGAGCTTCTGCGGTCAGCGGGTCACCGTTCAATGCCTTCTATTGAGAGAGTGAGTGTTTTGAATGTTTAAACTATTGTTGGATGTTTATTATGGATTTCTTTATTTTGTGTTCTCTTGGATACTTGGTTTATGAGCTTTGAACTTCATGATTGTGAGTAGAAATATTTGTAATTACATATATAATATTTTTGTTTAAATATAGAAGTAATTTTATTCGAGTTATTATATACTTGTGTAAGCATTGGTGTTGCTAAGTAGCATCGGTACACTAAAAAGTGTGCAACCAATTGATTAATATTGTTACATATATAATATATTTTTTTTAAATCTAGATGAAGTTTTATTCGAGTTGCTATATACTTGTGTAAGCATTGGTGTTACTGAGCATCATAGGTACACTGAAAAGTGTGCAACCAATGATAATCAATTGATAAATTCACATTTCAGGTGTTATCCATCCGCATGATAGCTACTAGCGCCAACTATCCCAATCCATAAGGTTTTTCCAATCATTTGGAGTTTAGATAACCGCTACAACATCCGATCAACATTTCTTGCATCGCTATAGCAATAATGTAACAAATTACAGCAACAAAAAGTTTAGCCCTTAACAACCCACTATACTCCTAACATGCAAAACATGTAAAATCAAGTAATTTTAATCCTAAAATGATCCTATATATGTTTAAGTTCAAACTAAACCTAGTTAATCAAGGCTACTAAAGATAACTCTTTTGGATAGTTATCATACCCCAAACCTAAGTGTTTGTTTTTCCTCAAGCAAAACATGCATGAAACACCTAAACTAAAGGCAATGCAATAGAATAACAAAAAAAAAACCAAGTAGCAAAGTTTTTTTTCCAGCACTCAGAGAATAATGTAAAGCATATATGTAATCTCAAATAAGAAAATACCATGTCATCCCTTCAAAATCAGAATCCTCATAGTGCAGTGTGTGAAATATAGGTGTATCAAATTAATACTTAGCTAAGTTAGAAAAGTTTTCACCTATTCTGTTAAAGGTATTCAATGCTACAACAATATTAATGCGATCATATATGTTTGTATCTATCTTTGTTCGAGTTTTTTTAGATGTAATCTTTCATTGTATGATCCTTATGTGATCTTAAGTTGCTAGTTTTGTTTCAATAATTATAAGAAATTTTCCTAATTATGTGCTTAATTTATTATTATTATTGTAAATCTTTATTGTAATTTGGGATATTTTATATTTTGAATAAAATTATTTACTTCTATAAAAAAACTATCACTAAAAGGGTTAAAATTAGTTTCTTGATTTATTTATTTGGGTTAGCTACACGGATGGTCACTTATGTTTGCGTTTTGTCTACTTTTGGTCACTAATTTCAAAAAATATAAGATATGATCACTTTCATTTTTACTTAATTAAGATAAGGTCACTTTTGTTTTTATTTAATTAAGATGTAGTCATCATGGGTTAATTGTTGTTAACAATTAACATAGTATGTGACATAATAGTTGGTATAACCACACATTTGGTCCTTGTTATTTATGTATCCTCTCAATTTAGCAATACTTTAAAATCAATTTTAACATAAAATATATATTTTTAAATGAAAATAAAATATTTTAAAATAAAATATTTTAAAATTAAATTAATAAAAATATATATTTAATAAGTTAATATAAAAATATTTAAAGTTAATATATATAAAATATTATGAATTTAAGCATTTATACACTAAAATACAAAATATATACACTAAGATGCAAAATATATACACCATGTTATCTACTTTAGACAGGGTCTTGGCTTAATGGTTGAATACATATTTAGTTTCATAATTGACCAATGTTTGAATCTTTTTTGCCCCAATTTGCTTTCCTTTTTTTTCTTTCCTTTATTTTCTTTCAACCAAAGGATAACACATGTCACTCTTTGATTGGTAAAAATAAATATATTATATTAAAATAAATTTAGTCCTCCAACCGAATAGTAACATGTTTCATCATTTGTTGAAGGATTAAATTTATTTTAATTTATTAAAAGTATGACTAAATTGAGAGAATATGTAAATAACATGGACCAAATGTGTGATTATATCAAAATATTTAATTATTGTTAACGACAGTTAACTCGGGGTGACCACATCTTAATTAAATAAAAACAAAAGTGAACATATCTTATGTTTTTTTTTTAAATCAATAATTAAAAGTTGACAAAACACAAACATAAGTTATCATCTGTGTAATTAACCCTATTTATTTTTACATATATATGGTTGTCCCTTGTTCCCAAATATAATAGGGTAAGGGGAGATAAGATAATAGGTTGCCCCTAATATTAAGTTGAGAACAGCTTCCGTAGGAGACCTCCAAATTATGAAATAGAATTCCTTAATTAGGATATTTTGTAGTTTTTTTTTAGAAAATTAGTATTGTTCTACAACTCTCCTAAGAGAGCAAATCAGTATCACGTCATAAATAAGCAAATTTTAATGTCAAAACCCAAATGATTGCTCTCCTAAATAAATAAATTATTAGTCATAAAACATGTTTTATTTAAAAAATAAAAAATAAAGATTTAGTTCCGACAACAATTAAGAAACTTTTTAACCAACTTTTAAATAAGTGAAATCGTGATAAATGGGTTTTTTTAAAGTGAACCGACTAAAACGTAAATATCAGAAATCTATAAAATAAATAAAAGTTCAATGAAAAAAATAAATAAATGTTTAATTTTTTTTAAATTTTAGCTGTTCAATTTTTTTTTGACAATTTAAGTGTTTAATGTCTTTTTATATCAGAGTAGGTGTCTCACATTTTGTTATGCTACTATTTCAAAAGCCAAAAATCAAAATTTGTAATAAAAAATGAATATATGACTTATTTTTATATTTTTTGATTAAAAACAAACATAAAATTCTTTAAATTTTAAAAACAGATGGCCACTTATGTTTGTGTATGGCCACGTTTGGTCACTATTTTTAAAAAACATAAATACGACCACTTTCGTGTTTATTTAATTAAGATATGATCACTTTCATTTTTATTTAATTAAGATGTGATCATCATTGGTTAACTGATGTTAACAATTAACATATTATGTGACGTGATAGTTGGTATAATCATACATTTGGTCCTTGTTATTTACATATTCTCTCAATTTAATCATACTTTTAAATAAATTTTAACATAAATTATATATTTTAAATAAAAATAAAAATAAAATATTTTTAAATTAAGTTAATAATAAAATATATTAATAAGTTAATATAAAAATTTTGAAGTTAATATATATAAATATTATGAATTTAAGTATTTATACATTAAGATACAAAATATAATCGTGTTGTCTACTTTTGACTAAGCAATCTCTTGGCTTAATGATTGTATACATGTTTACGTTTTTAAGTGACCAAGATTTGAATCTTTTTTCTCAATTTGCTTTCTTTTGTTTTCTTTCAACAAGAGGGTGACGTGTGCTACCATTTTATTTTTGGAAATAAATATATTAAATTAAAATAAAGTTAGTCCTCCAACCAAATGGTGACGCATGGCATGATATGTGGCATCATTCAATTGGAGGATTTAATTTATTTTAATTTATTAAAAGTGTGACTAAATTGATAGAATATGTAAACAACATAGACCAAATATGTGATTATATCAAAATATTTAACTGTTGTTAACGGCAATTAACTCGGGGTGACCATATCTTAGTTAAATAAAAATGAAAATTACCATATCTTATGTTTTTATGAAACAAGTGACTAAAAGTGGACAAAACATAAATATAAATGACCATTTGCGTAGTTAACCAAATCTATTATGGAATCAGATGCCAATCCGTAATTAAATATATTGTTAGTGTGAGAATTCATGCATTCACATGTAACAAATTTATTTTATCAGATACAAATACACATTCACTTAATTAATAAGTGTTTAAATTAGTGTGGATATGAACTAAATGATCTTATCTTTAAAAGTTCGGATATAAACTAAATGATATTAGTGGTTAAAGAAATTATTTTTATCTTACAATTTTCAGATTCTAACACCAACAATTACAAAACATTTGAGTGATTGAAAATTCTTCAAACAATATTATACTTTTAGATTAATAAAAAAAACTATTTTTTTTGTTAAATTAAGTGTTCAATATCTTATAATATTTTGAAGTCGAACTATCAATGTATTTCATAAAAAAGTCAACCAATAAATATCTACATGTGAACTAATTTTTAATTTCTTTTATTTATCTTTAAAATAAAGTCATTGGTTTTCTAAAAAAGTATATAAAATCTTTAAATCCTAAAAATATCTTAAAAACCATTGATGATAAGGAAATCACTCACAATTGTAACTCTTTATTGATTTTAAGATTCTATGAAAATCATGTTTAAAACACTTTTATTTCAAATATTTTTATCATTTTTATTCCCACGAAACATGTTGAAAACTTAGACGAGTTCCAATCCAACATGATAAGGAAATTAAATGACTATTGATCTTTACTCGGCCAATTTCCCAAAAACAACTTATATTTAAATGATACCTTCACTAGCTTGCACCCACAACAAAAGTACGAGAATTAAATTCCTCCCAAAAATAACAGTCCAAAATCCTGTACTGGAAGAGGAACCAAAACAGGATAGTCGACCGGAATCCGGTTTCCGAAACAAAATGGAAAACTGGTTCAATAACACCTAAACACTTGAGACTAGTAAACAACAGCTGTTGGAAAACATTGGCACCAAGATGGACATAGATTTCACCTTTTCCTTCATCCCCTTCCCCTCACTTCTTCTTCGATGCTTCACTGGCCTTTGTCTATGTTAAACAAGTAAAATAGTAAGAAAATCAGCCTCGTCGAACCCCGAATGTTTTGGGAGTGAAACCATCTGAAGTAACAATAAGAAAAAAGAAAAAAAAAGTTTACCTTTTTCACTCCACGGATCTTCTTAGCCCTGTTCTTCCTCTCCTTCATTTGCTTCCTTGATTTCTCCACTTTGGTATCGAGTCCATTCTGTGATAGCAACACATAATTAGCATCATGCATCATACCTTGATGCATTTAAAGAGAACAACAAATGCAACTCTCATAACTAACAGCAAGAAGACAAACTATGTGACAGTGAACCGAAACAACAGAAATGTCAGGAAAACTAGAAGGTTAAATAAACATTATGTTAAGAGTTACAAAAGAACTATTCCCGTCATCAAACTTAACTTGGCAGAAACTTGACCGATCAAATGCCCTTCATACCTACATTATGTAACTAAAAATGCATGTATTACAAAAAATTCAATACAGTTTGCAGGTCCTTGGAAGGTCATATCTTCATATCCAAATCTGAATAAATGTCAGACATAGATTACAATCAAGGGTAATTAGAGAAAAATAAAAAGTTGTGGCGCTATAGTTGAATACTATATTATAGGATAACCTATTTTCTGGGTCATTAAACCTGACATCAACTTTCATCAAAGTCACACTCGTTTAGATTTACCAAATTATATCAATGAACTACTATTCTTAACCAATCAGATCACTCATGCTAACTACATTAAATAGTTTTAACATAAAAGCAGTCTTGGCATGCATCTATGACTTAATTTCCAAACAGAGTCAACATAGGACTACATTACCTAAATGAAAACCGACATACGTTAAGTGACCTAAAATGTAACACTCTCCAACACCATGTTTGCTTCATAAACAAAAAGTTGCAAGCACCAAATACAACAAAAGCTCTACTTCCAAATCCAACTTGTTAGGCTTAAAAGACAATTGTTCTATGCTCAACGGCGTCACCATTAGAAGATGTTTTAATAAAAAGCATCAAAGCGAACAGTGCAAACAAAAATGTCAAGAAAGTGACTTCAATATGCTACTAACAAAAAACAATCACACTACAAACAAGATCAATAGAAAATGTACAGAAAACACATCAGAAATTACCCTGATTAGCCTGTATTTAGGCTCGTATTTCTTCGCATTCTCGACAGAATCATATATCAAACCAAATCCAGTAGATTTACCACCTCCAAAATGAGTCCGGAATTTGAACACAAAGATCGAATTTGGGTCCTTCACCTCATACATTCTACTAAGCTTCTCCTTCAGCTCAGCCTAACAATGCAGGATCAACAAATGAAAAAAAAAAGCAAGTTACCACAAACAGTCAAAATTTCCAGCAGTTAAAACAAACAACAATGTTAATGAGAAATATTAAACAATTACCTTGGAAACATTGGGCCTCCCAGGATGCAAAACATCAATGATCTACGTAAAAAAGGCGCGAAGTAGACAAGTTTAATTTTCCAAGTAATCAATAAAGTCAAACAAATACAAGCTAATTTGACTTTTATGTTCCCCAAATAAATCATATTTACCATATTTTCAAATTTCTTAAGAATTTTTTTTATTATCCTCAAATGGAAAATCAAGGAAAGCCCTAAAACACACATATCCCAATCAAACTTACAAGAACCCAAGATTTATTTTCTCTAAACTAACATATAACCCAACACTTATTCCACTTTTTCTTCTATTTTCTATCTTTGATCGATCTACAACTTAAAACTAGACCCTGCCAAATGTAATGGGAAAATAAAACGAGAGATAACGAGCAAAATACAATGCAAGACTGAAACCTAAAGTTGGCCCATGTTTGGTTAACGAGAAAATGAGACAAAAAAATGGAACTGGAGCTTACAAATTGTTTCCTGGAAAGTAACCTGTTCGTCATGAACTTCCTTGTCCTAATAGTCACTGCCTTGTCCGCCATGGCCAAGCAAAAATCTTCCTTCTTGTTTGAGACCCGGTGGAATCACCAAAGGTATACAAAATGCGGCAGCGGCTTATAGAGAAAAAGTGAGAAAAGCTAAATACCAAGTCTTTATAGGGTTTCCAACGGGATTGGCGTTGAAACTTCATTAGGGTTTCTTTTAGGTTTTGAATTAGGCTGCAATTTTTAACATTGATTTTTGCCTACGAGGCCCGTTATCCTTGTTCTTTAGTACTACCCGCCCTATTAGAAATACATTTTTTAAAAGTTAATTTTTTTTTAAATTTTGAATCTGGTTATTTAAAATATTTTTAAAAATTAAATTTTATTAAATATTTATAAAATATATTTTTTATATTTTTATCAATAAAAATTTTCAGACTAACTATACTGATAATCACTTATGTTTGTGTTTGTTTGGTCACTGATTTAAGAAAACATAAAATACTTTCATTTTTATTTTTAATTAAATAATATATGATAACTTTTGTTTTTATTTAATTAATATGTGGTCATCATGGGTTAACAATTATCAGAACATATGACGTGATGGTTGGTATAATTACACATTTGATCCTTGTTATTCAGGTATTTCAATTTAGTCATATTTTTAAATATATTTTAACAAAATATATAATTTTAAATAAAAATAAAATATTTTTAAATTAAGTTAATAATAAAATATATTTAATAAGTTAATATAAAAATATTTTAAGTTAATATATATAATATTATGAATATAAGTATTTATACACTAAAATACAAATATATATTTCATGTTGTTTACTTTAGACCAAGCAATGATCTTGGCTTAATGGTTGGATATATGTTTAGTTTCTAAGTGACCAAGGTTTAACCACGATTATTTTAAACATTAAAAAATATTTTTATTAAATATATATTTCAAAAATATTTGATTAAATATTTTTAAAATATATTTTTTCATCTTTTTATCAATAATAAATTTTAAATAATAATGAGTCAAAGTTAAAAAATATTGACAAAAAAATCAATAAGAGACAATTTAAAAGGAGCAGAGAGAGTAACAAATTGTTACAGTAACATCAAAATTCAAACTTTTATCTCCTTTGATACTCCATGACGAGTCACTTCTAGTTTTTGCTTCTATAATGCAATAAATTTCCCTACTTCATGTTATAATAAGACTATCTTCTAAGATCATTTAAGCGAGCTAATATAATAACTAATTGAGTGATGATATGTGTGCATTCCCATAATATTAAAAAAATGAGCTAATGTAGATAACGATGATATGAAATTATAAAATTTAGCACGTGTGAAATTAAAAAATTATATAAGATATGAAATTAAATTAGAAATCGAAGATACAAAGAATAGATCTAGATTATATGGAGATTTGAAATTTTAACAAAAAATGTAACTCCCTCAGACTGATGCGGTTAACCCTATCCGATCTGGAGTGTCACATTAGGGGCACCGGAGTGACCCACAGTAAAAATAGCGGAAAATGTAAAACTTTTATTAAAACATGTAAATTATAAAATGATTTATAAGTACGAAGAAATAAAACAGGTTTTCAGACTCGTATATAAAACAAAATACAATTACATGCCCCCTAATCACATATAGCGTACTTTGCAAGCAACCCCGGAAGAACTCCCTTACTGATGTCGATAGATATACTGGTACGATTCTTTTAACCTGCAAATGTGAGTAATAGAGTGAGCTTCGAAAAGTTCAGTAATACAGAACTACCAGATGATGCTAATGAACGTGCAGAGACAGATAAACATATATTTTTCTTATCGGTTCAGACATCTAAAAATCTTTATGTTGAGCAGAAATCCTACTGGTATTTTAGATGGTAACGGACAATGGGCGTTCAGTTTAAAGAAATATTTCAGACGACTGAGTTCAGGAGATCAGAATAGGTTATCTAATGTGTTCCCGTAAAACCAGTAAAAATATATAGATCTTTTAAAACATATATATATATATATACCCACATCCCTTCACAACAGAATGTGTAGGTTCCCCATAACCACACACCCAACCCACACAACTTGTAAGGCCCTGAGCACAAAGCCGAGGAACCTACAAAAATACTTCCTTCAACAATACCCCCAATTAAAACATTTTTCCGTCAGTAAACGGAGATATCAGAAATCAAAACAGAATTCAGAACAGATATCATAACAGAATCCAGATCAGAAATCAGAACAAAATTCAGGTCAGTATCAGAACAGAATTCAAGTCGGAAATCAGATAAAATATTTATATGATTAGGGAACACACCAGAGTTTACAGATATTATTAAGAGGTACTGAATAATCTTATCAAGCCGAGAAACACAGATCTTCAGTATGTCGATATAATATCAGAATTCAGAATCACTATTGGAAGAGTTTAATAACTGACGGATTCATCAATTATTCAGAATATGACTTGAGCTGATAAAGAAGAAATGAAGGTTCAGGATATTTACAGTCTATGTCGATTTATTTCATTATCAAACAGCTTCAAATGAGTATCTCCCATAATTAATGCTTGTCGACTGGTCAATTCATTGTCCTTACAGGGTATTTACACTTTAATACCACAAATTCTAATCCATATATCATCTTCGGAATCATCGTTGAATAAATCTTCCAATGTCTTTATTTCATGTTCACGCTTTCACTATATCATAAAATGCTGACGTGATTGATTTGTAGTTCATTATCCATAAGAACATTACATCATGTATGCTCATTAACGTTTCCAGACTCATCCAAATCACTTACTTAATCCTTAGTCCTTGAGGTTACTTAATTCATTTAGCAGTCAAGTCCATTACTGTTACTTCGGGTTTTTCAGGGTAATCCAGACGTTTCTGAATATCATATACATATTGTACTTCCGTTCAATTTAATTTGGTCTTCGTGGTTGATTTGTCTAATGAATATCCATTTCTTA